GCCCAGAGGCAGTGAGCACAAACAGAACATGGGATGTTCCCTCTGAACATCAGAAAACACTATTTTTTTTCCTGTGAGGGTGACTGAACACTGTCACAGGTTGTCCAGAGAGGTTGCGGAGTCTCCATTCTCGGAGATACTCAAAGGCCATCTGGATATTGTTTTGAGCAATCGGCTCTAGATGCCCTGCTTGAGCAGGGAGGGTGAACCAGATGACCTACCCTGCCTGCCCATCTCAACCCTTCTGTAATTCTGCAATCAGCAAGGGCACTTCAGAGAACCTCAGCTGTAACATTCATTTAGCAAGAAACGGAAAAGAAAATCCCACCCTCATACAGGACACTAGAGAGTGATTTTTCCTCTATTTTCTTTACTAGCTAGAGAATAAAATGCTTGTAAGCTCTATAGGAAAGAAGAGGAAAGACTGTGGAAACACTACAGTACACATAGAGGTAGTGACCAGTATCATACGTATCACCATCACCAGAATTTTTTGTTTCTGGTTCTCATCTGTATGCCATAAAGATGCAATGGAGACATGATGTTCCTGCCCAAGTCACCAGAGAATGAGCAGTCACTCCCTAGACCAAAATGTTCACAGTGATCACTGGAGAGGTTGGACAACAGCGTCCTTATTTCTACTGCGCTGTAGGCTGAAACCGAGAGAGTGAAACATTTCCTCCTTCCAGTACATGGATTAGGAAACTTCCTACTCATCCTGTGGGGAGGTCTGAGTCTCAACAGAGAACAAGGAGCAGTTGCATAGACTTTATAGCCCCTGGTTTTGAACTGAATTTGTAACAAAAATAGGCAAACCTACTCTACGGTTCTGTTGTGTTTTCCAGAAACTTCTGTAACTATGAATACTGGTTACAGATAACTTTAAATTGCCATGTTTCCTGAGCACTAATTTCTTAAAAGATTCTGCTGTAACTAGTAAGTTTATGTCCAAAAAATGCTCTGAGGCTATGTTTTCTGAAATATTGTCCGTATTTCATACATCGATTCTCAGTCACTCTTTTTCATGAGAACTGTTATCTCTCAGCTGCCAGACAGGTACCAGAGATTATTTACCAGCAGCAATAGCTCCAGTGACTTGATTTTTCTGTCCATGTCCTGGAAATCATTTTAGCTAGGTTGTGACAGGCAGTAGGAAACAGCTGGCCCCAAAGGGCCCATTGGACTTTAAGCATGTGCTCCTTGCTAAACAATGTGAGAAGCAACGGGTAAGGGGTTTGTGTGTCAGTTTTAACGCTATCCAACCATCAGGTCATCGTGTAGGAAGGCACACTCTGTAGCTTGCCTATAGATAAGTACAGATCAGTGTGTAGTACAAGTCCTTTCTGTTGCTGCAGAAAGTGCAAAATCATAGAATCATAGAATCATAGAATAGTTAGGGTTGGAAAGGACCTTAAGATCATCTAGTTCCAACCCCTCTGCTATAAACAGGAACACCACACACTAAACTATGTCACCCAAGGCTCTGTCCAGCCTGGCCTTGAACACCTCCAGGGTTGGAGCATTCACAACTTCCTTGGGCAACCCATTCCAGTGCCTCAGCACCCTCACTGTGAAGAACTTCTTCCTTATATCTAATCTAAACTTCCCCTGTTTAAGTTTAAAGCCATTACCCCATGTCCTACCACTAGATTTGGCTTCCCCCAGACTTGCATATTTTGATAAGTACTAGCACCAGTGGCTCATTGCACTTCCATGAATTCTACTGCACGTGCTTTTCACTGGTCCAAGTACCATTACTGGGCAGAGGGCCTTCCTCTTAACATGTGTTTGTGGGGGAGGCTGGTGTGGTCATCAAAAAGAAGCTGGCTTAGTGGCATAGCTGAGCACTCACTTTTGGTGGCTGAAATAAATGTGACATTTGACTTGCCAGCTCAGGGTGGGAGGAGGGCTGCTGAGCAGGGCAGCTGCCTGGTGGGTTGGGGATGAAAGCAGTGAAA